GGATTGTAACATTAGTCAGTGATTTTATCTCACACACACACACACCTGGAACATCTCTTGCTTCAAATCACAGAGGTTAAAATGCATTATAGAATATACAAAAGACTGTTCATTCAGTCTTGGAAAGGGCATTAGAAAGACAAAAGAGCCAAGCAAACGTAATGAAAAACAGGAAGGAGTGCAATGGAATGTGCAACTGGGAATAAATCTCAAGTAGGGACAATTGGCAGGAAAAAGTCTGAAAATGCACAAATTTCAAGGTCAGGATTTATTAAAATCATTGGTTGGAGCTGGGCAAGGGTTGAAATGAGATGAAGAAGGATAGCTGAAATGGCAAGCTACGTGAAATTAGAAACTTGTTCAGGAGGGAGAAGGGAGGCATTTGGTCTTGCTCAGATATCCACTGCAGACAGATTGCATCTTGACCATTATAGACTGGAGGAAGTAAACTGCTGACTCACACCAGAAATACAATAGCTTTCATACAAATAACAAGAGATGGTAGAAATGATCCAATGTGACATTTCCAATTTCAAATGTAAAGCTTGTGGCATTTCTGACATCACTGAGCATTGTTTAAAAAAAATTAAGTCTCTACTAAGTATTTTCTTTTACAAGAAAATGCTCCAACCATATCTAGTGTTTTACTCTATTTAGGGATGGATATGGTTGCATTGAAAGTAGTTCAGATAAGGTTCACTGGACTTATTATTGGGATGAAGATGGTAGTCCCTATGGAAGAAGGTTCAAGCAGGTTGGATTTACCTTCATTGGAGTTTGCAATAATAAGAAACAAGCTTACTGAAGCAAAATAATCTGATGGGTCTGAACAGGATTGAATCCAAGAGAATGCATCTTCTCATGTAGCAAATCAAAAACTGAGTTTTTAGATAAAGGGTTAGGGAATCATTGGGATTTTATGCCCTACAGGATCACGCAGAGTCAATGGGTATACATAGGACAGATGGATAGATTTTTGGGTACTGAGGAACTTGAAATGTTTGGTGATTAGAGTAAGGATGAGGAAATAGAGCTGATATATACATTCAGCTGTAATCTTGGTGACCTGCAGAATAGGCTCAAGGGGTGTTATGGCCTAATGTTTTTATACACAGTTCATGTACTGTCTAACCATGTAGGAAATAATGCAAAATGTGCAGATGAAATACAGAACATGGTTTAATGCAAGCAATGAGAGGGACACATTACTACATTGGGTCCTCTGAGCATTAACAAAGGTATGAATGTGGCGTAGAGAGTATGGAGAGAATGCATATTTAGATGGGAAGAAATGCAGAGTGACTAGAGATTCAGATACTCAACTCTTTGGTGTCTTATTTTAAACTGTCAACATTGAGAAACATGCAGACAGAATTCAGAAGGTGATTATGACGGAACATCATGAATGAAGGTTATAAAAAGGGTGTGGATGGAAAAGCCAAAAGAATATTTTCACCTGATAAAAGGTTAGTATACTAACGTGCTCACTAAAAGGGTGGCACAGTGGCTCAGTGGTTAGCACTGTTGCCTCATAGCACCAGGAACCCAGGTTCAATTCGAGCCTTGGGCAACCGTCTACACGGAGTTTGTGTGCTCTCCCCATGTCTGTGTAGGTTTCCTACAGGTGCTTCGGTCCCCTCCCACAGTCCAAAGATGTGCAGGTTGGGTGGATTAGCCATGCTAAATTGCCCATAGTGAGTAGGTAAGCCATGGGAAATGCAGGGTTACAGGGATGGCGGGGGTGGGGGGTAATCTGGATGGAATGCTCCAGGAAGAGTCGGTATGGACTGGTTAGGCTGAACAGCCTAATTAACACTGTAGGAATTCTAAATTCCAACAAAAAAGTTCATTAAAACTGCACGCGCGTTCAGCCAAGGTGAAGCTTGGCAGGTACCAGCCAGCATGGTCTCTTGATAAGCACAGGCACATATATGTAGGAATATATTAAAACTTGACAGGGCTGCCCACCAAGAAAAATAGAGAATTGGCCACACAGCTAAACATCGAACAATACATTGGTAAAGAACAGAAATAAATTCAAAAATATGCAGAAAACTTTGGAGCTGAGAAATGAAAAGTTCCATTTCCATAGATCGGTTAATGTAAAATGACATGACAACTTTAATGTTAAAGAAAATTGATGGGACACCAGGATTCTATGTTTCCAGTTATAATAGTGAAAACAGTATCCACAGCAACTTGTAATATTTGAAGTAGAGAAAGCTACCGAGAGCTGAAGGTGGTTCTAAAACGGGTTCCTTCTGGACTATTAAAGTTCTAATGATCCCATAGGAATTTCTTTTCCATACCCAAGCTTGCCCATACAGTCTCCACGATACATGTAGCACATCATGCATCTGGACAAGTGACAGGCTCAACACCGCTCTGCCATCATTTGCCTTTTGCAAAGAAGGCTCCCACTGGGTCACTGCTTACTCATAAGCTGACTCATTCACCATCAGCATCATTACAGCTTTCACACTCACAATCAATAAAAAGTCAAACAAGAATAATTCTTCCCCTCAAACATGTCCTCCCACACCCGGATCAGGAAATGAAGCTGTAAGACGGTGAATTGAAAAATAACTAGTGATTCTTCCTTGAATACCTACCTTTTCTTTCCTCTTAAACGGCATGATTGCATAAAGTGACAAAGAAAAAAGCTACATTAGTTTTGTCTTAAATGCCCTTGTTCTCAAATAACCCAATATTGAAAATAGTACAACAGATCCAAGCAGCGTAAGTGAACAAAGGGCATTCGTGTCACAATAGACAAGACCACTGCCACTGATTTGAATGAGCAATTTAGAAACATAAAAGCAATTTGTAGGTAGAATTGGATTTTCTTGTGATTGAGGGGTGTAGAACCAGCGTGCAGAATTACAAGATTAAAATGTAAAAACTTGGCAGAAGTTTCTTTTACACAGAGGTCATGTGTTGCACTTCTGGAGTTTGCAACTGCAACAGACACCACAGCGACATGAATGAGGGATATTGTGGTGGCGAAGTCACTGGACTACCAATCCAGAGGCCCATACCAACACACTGGGGACATGGATTCAAATCAGCCAGGTGGAATGTGAACTTCATTCATAAATCTGGAATATCAAGGAATAGTAATAGTGGGATCATTAATAGTGACCACGGCACCCATTCTGCTCATCTGGCTCCTGACTGCCCTTTAGGGACTACCATCCTGACCAGTGTGACTCCAGACCCACAGCAATGGCTGCACATTCTGACTTGTAACGTCCCTCTGTTCAAGTGTAATTAATACAAATGCTGCCAGCGATATCCATGGAGGAATAGAAAAGCTGGCTAAAGAAAAGCAATTGACACAGAAATGCCTTTAAGTGTCTTAAGATCCATGAGGCTCTTTTGATAGGCCCTTCTTAAATATTTTAAAGTATAGCTTGATTTTGACCAAAAGTCATTAAAACTTCCACTTAAATAAAAGTTCTGTGCATGCTGTAAATCCATAATAAAAAGCAAAGTGCTGGAAATATTCAGCAGGTTAGGCAGCAGTGGAGATAAAAACAGAGGCAATTTTCCAGGTTTGTTTGACCTTGCACGGAGTTCTGATGAAAGGGAACAGACCTGAAACATTAACTTCAGTTTTTCACCCCACGCGACACTGCCCGACACTAAATATTTCCAGTATTTCGTATTTCCATTTTAACTTGTTGGCTTATCCCCTTTCTTTGGGCAGGGAGATGAAAAATAAATGGGATAATTTCACTGAAGCTCACTTCTCCTTTGAAGTAGAAGGTGTATTTTCTTCCCCCTCAAGAGCAGCTTGCAGGTGGGACCCTGCTGATACAGCCAAAGTTGTATATATTACTCAGATTACTGCAAATAGTAAATGCTGTGTCTTCTGGTTCCCATAAGATAGAACACACTTGAGAGAGAGAGAGAGAGAGAGAGAGAGAGCTTTTCTTACTGTTCTTCAACCAGGCCAGTGAACTGAGACACTGATGCATTGTTGCCCAGTAAACCATTGCACCAACTGAAGGTGCTGTATCCAAATAATTTGACACTTACATTGGTAGCTGCTTTTTTGCATCAAGTTGCCTCCAGAACACAACTGGACTTTTAACATAAACAGGGTATTAGGGTCTGAATTGGCCACCAGATGCAGCAGAGACCGAGCCTGGTCTCAACTGACTCTGTGCTGGGACAAGTCTCCACTAGCCTGCCCCTCAAATCAGCACTGAACAGGCCAAGAAGGCTAATAAAATTGGGCAAAGCAATGGCCTACTGGTATTATCTCTGGACCGTTAATCCAGAGGCCCAGGCAATGTTCTGGGACCAGAGGTTCGAATCCCACCGCAACGAATGATGGAATTTGAATTCAACAAAACAGCTGGAATTGAGTGTCTAAATCAGGACCGATTGTAGGAACATGTCCTTTAACTGAAGGAAGCTGCCATCCTTACCTGGTCTGGCCTACATGTGATTCCAGTCCCACAGCAACGTGGTTGACTCTTAACTGCCCTCTGGCCAATTAGGGGTGGACAACAGATGGTGGCCAAGCCGGTGACTCCCTCATCCCGTAAATGAATAAATCGAAATGCAAACACAGACTGGAGATACAACAACTAGACTTCAGCTGCATTGAAACAAGCCTTTCAAAAGGTTTGCCTCTTGACACACATTTGCTCACCTGATTCTACAGAATGCAGGTTTCCTTCTATCCAGGGCTTGGCAGGTGGCCATACAGCCTGAATTCTCCCAGGGATGCGACCTTCCACGTGATCTCGTGACTGGGTTGGTTGGCTGACAGCTGCCCACGTGTAAAGCTTGTCTTGCTTTAAACAAGAAAAATAAAACAAATTCCAGCATTAACTTTCATTGAAGCCTATCGAAGCAGAACAGCTATAGTCTTTCAAACGGACTTCAAAACTGTACATCAGAGAGCCAGAGTCCGAGAAAAGATTTTATCAAAAAAAACAAGAAACAAAAAAAAAAGACTTCCCCACAATCCACATGGACCGTGCTTTGCATTACACGCAGTACAAAAGGTGGAAGTGGTAGCTGACTTTTGGACTACTTCCTGCACAGTATTAAATGTGTTATACCACTATGCAGTTTTACCTGTCCAAAACGGCCATCCGGCTCTGGTCTCGCTTTGGTCTGCGGATCACGGTGGGTTATTAAGGCTTCATCACGTTTTCGTCGCACAGTCCTCTTCAACCTCAGTAAAGCTAGGTCAGGATCTGCTGGTTTCATTTTGCAAAGAGTCTCTCGGTCACCTGCTTTAGTGTCCTTCCTCACTACCAGCAAGTTTGTAAAAACCTCTGGAACTTTTCCTTCGGAGGCAGCAAAACTAAAGGTCCCACAGGACCAGTTATTATTACAGTCATCAAGAAACTCATTCCTTCTGGCTACCACATCAGCATTTTCCAGTCCGGTTTCAGATGCAATCTGATCACAATAATTGATTGATGTAGAGCCAAATGTACTACCAGCACGGCTTCTGCAGTTCAGACTGGGTGGTGGCTGGCCCATTCGCTCCCCCTTCACACTGTTTTCTCTCCTAATTAAAGCATTTACATTTCCACAGCTGCCAACCACCACCCCATTTAGTCCCTCATAAACACCACCACCTTCGTTGTTGTTCAATTCCTGGTTCCATGCTTTTAACCACTCTGTGGAGATCAAGTGTTGCAATGCAGTTACTTTAGCTGCTCGTCTGTTCTCCCCCTGAAAATCAGTGGTTCTTGAAGGGGCTTCATCGTTCTGCTCAACTAAGCAGGAACTTACAGTTTTTTCTGTTGTTTCCAATGCTTTGTTCAGGATATTAGCCAAATCCAGGCTGTTGCTCATCACTTTACAGGAGGGTTGTTCAGCTTGGCCTTGCATTTTATCAAACATGTACTGCTCCCTTATCACAAGCAGACATCCACAATTTTGTCTGGGCTTGCCGAGTTCCACCGCACATCCTTCAACTTTTATTATCCATGATCAAATATTTTGCCATGTTGTATTTCTATAGTTCAACAGTAGCAGAATCATGCTTTGAAGGTTTAACAGAATCCAAATTAAAACCTTTGTTTTTCTTCACATTCCATTACCAGAAGATTTTCCCGACATCTTGCTGCATCACAAGGCTCCTTGTGCAATGTCCACAGCATCTGCAGGGCTCAGGGATGCAACGCATACAGACCCGAGAGATCAACTTCCAATGTAACTGATTTGCTATCAGATGACAAAGAACAAGGCTGCACTAAATCATTAAACAGCCGGCTTACAGTAACACTAATCCTCTCCTGAGCCCAGTTCAAAATTATCCGTGTATTAAAAACCAGCATCGTCATTCACTTGAAAACTACCCACACTTATACGGTACATTTGTTTGCAACATGCACATTCGAAAGGGCACTAGACAGTGTTATTTGCAAGCTGAACGCTTACTGGATAAAGTCAGCATCAGACCAGTTAGAGAGAGGAGAAAAACAAAAAAAAAAAAAAAAAAAAACCAATTTGCATAAATTTGATCAGGATTCAGTGCCTGGCTCAGTGATGCAGTTAGAACGTCAACACTCTTATTTTTAAACTTTCCATGCTCTAATCCAGCAGCTGAATATTCCTGACAGTCCTGTTAGACCAGATTAATACTGGTGTGTTAAAAGCCACATTACAAACACAGGGATATACTGTAAAAATGCCAACAAAAGCAAAGTTACAATCTATATCAAGCAAAAGAAAAGAAACTTCATTGTCACGGAGGAGGGAACACTGAAAAGAACAATTTGCTGACTCATGTTGGGGAATATATACGGGGCTGGGTTTTGCAGTCAGCAAAAAGACAGCCAGTTCTCAAAAGCAACCACTGATGTGATTTCACATTTCAATGTTTATCTCAATCTGGTGGTTAAGTCAAAGGGGGTCTCCAGGCATTCAAGCTAAAAAAGGTGCCAATCTCATTGAGGCATTCTAACAGACAACCAACCAGGAGGCTTTTTAACCTGTACCTCCACTTTCTATAAATTTGAAGGAGCAAAAATAATAGAGACGTACATATTAGTCTTTAAATTTGATATTTCAGGCTATTTAAATGTTACAAAATCAGTAATAAGTATTTAGGAATGCCAAGCTTCCACAGGTGAGCGAGAGAGCATTCAGCAGTAGGTATGACTCTACACACTGTTTAATAAGTTAGTACCACCTTTCACACACTCAGTTACTGCACAGTAAGAACTGGGACAGGGGAAACAAAAAATCCCATCTCTAAATTTGCATAATTCTCTATTCTAATTATTTATTTGCACAAGCATTGTTTATGCAATATTCATATCCCAATTTGTGCAATGTTCTCTAATATGAACATTCTTCCCCTGTTCAAAAAGAGAGTATCTACTCAAAGACTATGAGTTACTGCATCGGTTTATCTCGAGGAGAAAGAGGGCAACGATGTAGTACATGAGACAATGGACAAATTGGGAGGTGATAGTACGGTGATATTGTCAATGGACTGGTGATCCAGAGATTATGGGTTCTGCAGATCTAGGTTGAGATCCCCTCACAACAAGTGGTGGAATATGCAAAGCTCTGAAATGAAGCCTAAGGATGGTGAAACCATTGTTGAACATAAAGACCCATCTGGTTCAATGTTCTTTATGGAATGAAATCTGCCACCTTTACTTGGTCTGGCCTACATGCAACACCAGCCTCTCAATGTGGTTGACTGGTATCACCCTCTAAAATGGCCATTCAGTTGCATCTAACAATTCAGAAGGCCAAAAAGACTACAAGATACGAAAAAACAACAGACAGATGAGCTGGTATTGACCTATGCATTGGAACTAACAATAGCAAAATCAGACCTGTTGAACTTGCAATGTTCTCCTTACTCACAGTTGAGAAATAGTACTAAAATTTGAAGAGCTGTCTCAGCCATTAGCCTGACACTGTCATACCCATGGAATTATACCTTGCAGATAATATCCCAGGGGGAGGCGATGGCCTAGCGATATTATCGTTGGGCTGTTAACCCAGAGACCCAGATAAATGTTCGAATCCCGCCACAGCAGATAGTGGAATTTGATTTCAATTAATATCTGGAATTAAGAATCTTATGATGACCGTGAATCCATCGTCGATTGTCGGAAAAACCCGTTTGGTTCACTAATGTCCTTTAGGGAAGGAAGCTGCTATCCTTACCTGGTCTGGACTACGTGCGACTCCAGACCCACAGCAATGTGGTTGACTCTTAACTGCTCTCTGGGCAATTAGGGATAGGTGATAAATGCTGCCTAGCCAGAAACACCCTCATCCCGTGAATGAATAAAGAAAAAACCCACTAAACGGATATGTCCTGTCAAGTCCAGCAGATGGACACTGTACCACTTGCCAAAGGGAGCTGCCCAGGGAGTCCTCTGTATTGAATCTGCTTCATCGCATCACGGCAAACATGCGCAAGGAAATCTGCTGATTACCACGTACCACTTAATACCATTCAAGTTGTTAGTGGTTATGGGTTTGGCAGGTGCTCAGGAGTGTTGGTCTATTTCTGCAGTGCATTTTTGCACATGATCCACAGAGCTGTTACTTGATTACCACCATATCCATAATCACTCACTCCTTCCGTGTCACCCCACCGGTCGGCATGGACCGGTTTGGGCCGAAGGGCCTATCTCCGTGCTGTGGGACTCGGACTCTATGACCCTACCACCTAGAATGACAAGAATAGCAGATGCACGGCAACACCTGCCCCTGCAAGCAACACTCCCTGTAAGCTGGACAGCCGTGCTCAAAGTCAGCCATGCCAATCACGCCATTGATTTCCAATTCCAGACAGACATTCTGTTGCCACACTCTGCAGCCTGTACAGCCCGAAAGAAAATAAGAAGGAATGCTGCTTTCAGGTTTCTCTCCAAGACACTAAACATCCCACAAATGAATGAATAAATAAAAGACAAAAGCAATAAGTTCTCCCACTCCCTCCATATTTCATACTGTAATGATGGGTGCATATTACAGCTTTGTATTCACAAAGAGTCAAGAGATCCCACGTTTTCAGTCACAGAAGGAAAAACATTGCTCAAAGTACAGCTACCATTCAAACTTTAGACTATAATGAGGGGAGAAAGAAAATAAGGATTGGAGTTCAACACTGAAGAGGATATTCCAATGTTATACTTTAAAGAGGGAGTGCTGGATCAACAAAAGGTTTTGACTCTTAAAACAAGCAAATTGAACTCTACTTCAATGCTTAATTTAAGAATCATTTTCAGTAATGGTCCTTTGGTACCAGGACTAAAAGATGCTCAGTGTAATTACTACCCCATCTCTTCTCCCCACCAAATTAAAGCACGTTGACATACTACTGTACATTTGAGAAGTTTTGTATTGAAATAGCTGCCATGTTCGTCACACAAGTCAGTATTTAAAGAGTAACACTGGTACCTGAATCAAAATAAATTGCTATGTAAGTACATTTGCAAAGCTCAAGTACATGGAATCGTAGAATCCCTAGACTGGAAGCAAGCCATTTGGCCCATCAAGTCCATACCAACCCTCCAAACAGCATCCGATCTAGACCCACTCCCCATCTCTGTAACCTTGCATCTTCCATGGCTAACCCACAGTCTGCACATCCCTGGATGCTATGAGCAATTTAGTGAATTAGCATGGCCAATCCATGCTAATTGAATTGCACATCTTTGGACCTTGGAGGAAACTGGCTTACCCGGAGGAAACGCACACAGACACTGGGAGAACGTGCAGACTCCACACAGACAGACAGTCAGAGGATGGAATCGGCTGACCACTGAGCCACCATGTGGCCCCGAAAAGTTAAGACTAAGCCAAATCTTCGGTTTCTGTGCACCAATGATGCTTAAAAGTACCATGCATTAGACAAGTGGAGATCAACTCATTTTTACAGAGATACGACCAATGTTGTTGCACTAAATTAAATATCTAGGCACAGCAAGTGCAGACTTTAAAGAGAGTTAGCTTCTTTTGAAGGCACTAATTATGCAGCAAGATTAAATTGTGTGTATTGTTTTAAGGGTGCATGTTTATTCCAAGGTGCAATTTTTGTAAAAATCAGCAAAAGCTGACTCGTGTTAATGCTCTTGCTCAGTGTCAATTGATTTTTGCTGTTGCTGTGCAAAAACATTAACCAGCAAGACTGCTCTCTAAACTCCCACAGCTTCCTTTAATCCATTTGGAGCCTGTACTGCTGCAGAACAAAGGCAGCGACAGTGACAGTTCTGAGACAAGCAGGGCAGCAACCAAACTAAGATAATGGAACAGCAAGTGGAGGGCAGAAGAATCCTTAAGTTGCCATGATGTGCTGTAAACAGACCTACGTAGCTATATGGGAAAGAGGCTATCATTTAAAAGCAAGGCCAACTCTGCTGCTGCAATAATGAATGTACTTCAGTAAAGGAGAGCTCAAGTCTGAAAGAACAACACTGTTAAAACCTGAACTTTGTATTGGGATTATGTAGTCAGGATCAGCACATTACCAGCAGGGTTACTGGCATTTTCAATACTTGCTGGCAATCGACCACGGTTTGGCAGAATGTCAAACTAACTTTTTACGTTCCTTTAAAAATAAAAAAGTAGAAAAGCAGCCCAAGGTCAAAAAGTTAGAAGTGCTCGGATCTAGATTTTCATTTGGTGCACAAGGCATGGTTCATACATCAAAAAAGAAAGGACTTGGATGCCTTATCCATGCTCAGTTAATTAATTCTCTGGTTCTTATACCATGCAAGAGGGAACAAACATTTATGCAAACTTTGGATACATGCTCAAAAAGTACAAATTCCAGATTGAATGAAGGGAATCAAATCCACAATGTTTCACCTCTCCCTGAAAATACATCTATGTTCAAAATCAAACCTATGTGGGCACCATTCCCTAATTCTATTGCCACTTTTACTTGGCTTGGAATCAAAAGCTTTGCCATATTTCCCTAGTCAAATGGAAAACAAAAATTGGTGCGGTGAAAAGTTGGCT